GATTAAATATCAAACTAATCTCTTATTCATTATTACTAACACCCAAATCTAAGTAAGTCTTGGCCATTCTAGTTGGTTTAGGTCACAGATAAATTAGTCTGAGTTTTTATTCTTGCTATAATATTTTAAAAGTAGATTTAAACTTTATATAAAAATCTCAGTTAAATATTCAATAAAGATAGAGGCATGACCTTATCATTAATATTAAAAAAAAAAAAAATTCTTATAATTAATTGTTTAAAAAAAAAAAATAAATAGTAATAGCAAACATGTCCTTAATATTAAATATCTTTCTAATAATAATATTTAAAAGATTAAATCTTCTACTAATATATCTAAATAAAAAGCTATATAAAGCTCTTTAAAAAATCAAATGCAAAAAAAATTTATATAAATTTTTCTAATTCTAATAGGCCTAAAAAAAATCATATATTTGGCTATATTTTAAAAAAGAGAATAATAATGATATTTGCAAGTTGTAAGATAGTTGTAATTCAAAAAAATAAAGAAACTAATTATAATAAAAGTTATAAACATAATAGAGAAACTAGAAATATAAAAAGGTATTTACAATTAGTATATAGGAGGTTTGAATCTAATAAACTACAATCAAGCTTAAGTGAAAAGTGTTAATTATGTATAAGCCAAATGATTAAAAATATAATATCATATAATAAATTCAAACAATCAAAATTAATTACATTACAGTTGAATAATTGGTTACAGATTTACTTCTATTTAATGTTGTATATAAAAAAAGATATTATAAAATAATGCAATAATTTGATCTTGCTTTTAACCTACCAAATTACAAATAAATATATTAGAAAAGATATTGATATTGCTTATTAAAAAAATGTTATAAAACTTAAAAAATTACTAGCAGCTAAATATAAAACAGTTTTCATAACTACAAACTTGTAGATTTATACACTAATAATGAATATATTGACATAACTCTTTATTAGTTAACATTTAACTTTGAAGTTCATGATGTTCTGCTAGCTATTAAAAACTTTGATCATCTATATATAAGTAAAAAAATTAAAGAATTTCTAAATTCTAAAGTTGAAAAGTTTGAATTAACTAGTAAAATTATTTATACAATAACTAATAATGGTACAAATATAAAAAAAACAATTAGAATTTGGGAATAAAGTAAAATGCCTATCTTGTACTATGTACACATTTCAACTTACAGTTCTTCAGGTCTTAAAATACATAAACCTATATACTAAATGTATCAAAAAACTTATTAAATTTTTCTGATTTTTAAAACAAAGTTAATGTTTTGCTTAGACACAAATTGACTTGACAAATTATAATAAAACTTATACAAAACCTATTTAAATTAATTCTAAAAATAGATTTAAGAGTAGAAGGCAGTATTTTAAAATTATATATAAATCTAATAGTAAATTTTTTTTATATTTAATTTTATGAAAAATTATATTATGTAAACTAATTTTAATTATTAAATAAAAGTTGTTAAGTAGGTATTTCTAAGTCTAATGATAATAAAATTATTAAAATAGGTTAAAAACTTATTAAAATATGAATTTTTAAAGATTAGAATATAAAATTATAAATAAAATTAACTAATAGGTTTATGTAAATTAACTAATCAAATTTATTATTTTCATACTATCTAAGGAAATTTTAATCTATCTAAGTAAACATTATTATATATACAAGTATATTTTTTTAAAATAATACAATACTTCAAAATTTTATTATAATAGATAAATAATTTTATTTATAATATTATAGATTTTTTTTACTAATTAATAAAAAATAAAAAAGTTTGATTAGTAGTATATATTAATTTTAAATGAAAATTTTAATATATTATACATAACTATATAAAAATGATCTATATACCCTCTATTTTTAAAAACATATCTAAAGCAGAAAATAATAATAAGATAAAAACATATAAAATGCTATCTATTTTATATACTATTAAGGATATTAAAATCTATTAAAATTCATTTTACCAATTTTAGTAGTAACTTTTAACTTTATATCTATTAATTAAATAACTTTCTGAAACTTTATTTTTAAAATAAAAATAATACTAAAGAAGATTCTACCAAATTAAACCATTACATGTTTAAAGATTATGAATAGCAGTTATTAAAACAATTGGTAAAAGTATTTGGACTATTTGACAAATTAACAACTTGCTTTAATAAAATTCAATATACTACTCTTTTAGTTATTAATCCAAGTATAAAGACATTAAAGTTTGAATTTGCTGATAACATATTTGATAAATCTTTTATAGAAAGTCTTAATAATGATAGATAATAATTAATTAATAATTATTATAAAGTATTAATTACTAACAATTTAATATCTAAAAAAATTAGATAAAATATTATTAGATGAAAATAACTTTAGTGATAAGAAACTTGATAATAATAAAGAACAATTCTTACCTAGTAATGTAATCTCAAAACTTTAAAAGATTATTTATAACTCTTTATAATATTACTGATAAGATTTAAGACATTAAACTAATAACTATATTACTAGATCTATAATTAAAATTAATGAGTTTGTGGTTTAAAGATATACAAAGACAAATAATTAACAAATTGCAAAATGAATTTCAAATTTGACAGAATATAGTTGTGTATAATAAGTTAAAAATTCAAACTAAAAAAACTACTGCTCTTAGTTTTATAAGAAAAATATTTAATGTTAGTAAATAAATAAGTAACAAAACTAAAATTAATAACTATTTAGAAATGGTAATACCAAATTTATCTAAATTTATTGATATTTATAGTTGGTGATATAAAAATCAGCATTTCTTCTCTATTTTAAATAGAATAGCTTGTAAATATTTATTAATTTCCACTACCTTAGTTCTAAGTAAATATCTTTTTTCTGATGCAAAAAACCAAATTACTTCTAAAAGAAACAGGTTGTCACCTGAAATTGTAAACAAAATTATGTTTATTAAGCATAATATTTTGTATTGTAAGGTTTGGGAATAAAGTTTGTATTTAATAAAAAATATATATTTTTAAATAAACAGCTATTATAATCACCAACCTTTATTATTTTTATTATTGACTATAATGTGACTAATGTATTAATTATATTAATGAATTTGCAGAATTGTTCTTGGATCAATACAACTTAAGATTGATTCACACAAATTCGTCAATATCCATTGATCTTAATTAAATATAAGTGACTCTTTACTCATTGTAGTAGTAGTTAACACCTTAACAACTAATTTTGAGATCTAACTGTATACTGGTAACAAGACCTGATTAAGCACATTATCAGTAAAAAAAAAAATCACAATCAAATAACATGTGTGTTTTGTGTTAGCGAGGAGTATATTAGAGAGCTTTCCTAATTTTTGTAAATATTTGCGATGTAACAAAATCTAATTGGCTAATAGAAAAGTAAAAAATTCATTAATAAAAGAATATTCAAATTATAAATTTTTATTCATAATGATAATATTTAATGCTTGAATCCCAATAGTTATTATCAATTGTGCATTTAGTTAAACTTAATTTTTAAAAAAATAACATCTTTAAGCTTAGCAATTTATTAATACTGAACAGTTAAATAATTTACTAAAATAATAATACATATAATAAATTATAGAACCGTCAATTATTAATAGGTAGAGTGTACGTTCATAGAAAGTATAAACAGTATAAAAAATCAAAATTAACTACAAGTGACTCTCGATATAAGAAAGTTTTATATAAGAAACTCTTGATATAGAAGATTTTATTAAGTCCCAATTGAACATTTTATAATAAAAACTCTTTAATATAAGAAATCTCGATATAAAAAAGATTTTGACTGGACCTGGCAACTTTCTTATATCAAAAGTCACTTGTACAGAAACATTGTGCATATCGTATATATTCTATATTATTCTATATTTATATGCTACAACCCTTAAAACCTGATCGAATAATCTATACGTACTCGAAAAAAATCAACCATTAGCCTGTTTGAACTGTTATTTGTAAATTAATAAGAAAAAAATAGTAACATTTATTAGCCAAAGTGTAATTTACCACGCCGATTACTGAATTGCTTTATCCTATATAACAAAAGTACACCTGTAGCTAACTTCTGAATTACTTTGTTCTCCGAATTTTACTGTATATAATGTAAGTGTAGTTTCTGAATATGTATTCTTTTCGTTCTACATTCGTTTTCATGGCATACTTAAAGTCAGATGATATATGCAGTGTAGATGCAACGATGATTTTTAATATAGCAATTAGCACATTACCACCTGGGTTGTCTCTTTATACTGACATGGGTGACCTGACGGGTGACCCGTGACCCGTTTAACCCGGGTGGCTCATAGTCCACCCGACAGGTGACCCGGGTGAAGGTTTTTTATACAGGTCAAATCACTAATCTGAATATTCTTGAGATGTTGTCTTATCATTAGGACTATCACCATTTATTAAATTCCACTAGATCACAATTAGTGTTGGCAGCAATAGTCAAATAGAACAATAGAATTTAGAATAGAATGTAATTTTTATCAATAGAACACAAAATTGATAACACTGATCACAATGTATATAATATTAGTCATATATATAGCAATTAATGGCAACAGCAGACTTACCTTTTTGTGTTAGTCTCTTCGTCATTTGTATCGACAACGTTTTCTTGAAGCTATACGATTGTCGTTGTACGTCAGTTGCAAGTAAATTTATCTACTTTACTTGCAGATACCTGATTTTGGCACGTTCACAATCTTGATTTGAATTCTTTACCGGTGCGGTCCATTTCTTGATAGTAATCAAAAAAAAATTGAACTGTTACCCAGTAACAAAACAATAATATAGAACAAAAGAAACGCAGGATTAAAAGATCGTCCTTGTAAGACGAGTAGTCCCAGCTTGCACTAAGCGTCGAACGAATAGCTCATCACTGGAGACGAGTAGTCCCAGCTTGCACTTAGCGTCGAACGAGTAGTTCATAACTGTTCAGATCAATCACTTAATCTGTTCAAACCCTATTCCTACTAAATGAATATACCTTCCAGCTGTCGAGTATTTTTCGAGCTTCTTTTTTACTGCATCAAATGAATTAGAATCTTCCATTCCTTGAAAGTCTTTTTAATGCGGTCCAAAATTTGCTTCCTGTCTTTGTATTTCGTATTCGAACGGTGATATTTCAGTAAATTCACACATGTCCAACTTTCGATTGCGTTTACTCGATAAAAATCCATAATTCGCTTTGAAGAATTTGGGAAAGGTAAATACTTAGATGGACACTGATTCATGATTTTGTATAACATTTGGGACCCACAGCAAAAGGGGATGGGCCAAAAAATTAGAAATTTTATTCTTGTGCTAATCAATCTAATTTTCAAGATAGTGAATTTTTTTTTAAAAAAAAATTTTTTTGGCCCATCCAATTTCTCAAAAATTTGAATAACTACCTTCTGTGCTTTAACAAAAAAATTCCTTGAGCAATTTTACTATAAATCCCACTATTAACCCTAACCTAAATGAACTTTAAAGAATTTTTCAATCGTCACGTGATAGTAGAATTTTTATGACGATGCTGGGTATTTGGCAAGTGGCGTGACCAGTATAGTACCGGACACCAATCTATTCATGGGGGTGTTAGTAAAAATGCACCATATTTTTTCTAAGTAAATTTTTTTAAAACTTTAAACAAAGATAACTCAACAACAACTTTACCAAATTTAATAAAAATTTTTTAAAACAATCCTAACTTATAGAATTCATTTTAAAAAAAATTATAAATTTGATTAAGTATTTGCTAAAGATTCAAAAAATTTCATTAAAAATAATATGGTGCGTTTCTACTGACTCACCCCCATATTAAGCACCAATTTGACTAGATAGTAAAAGACATCCAAGTAATAAAAAGACATCCAAGTAATAAAAAGACATCCAAGTAATAAAAAGACATCCAAGTAATAAAAAGACATCCAATCTATTATAAAGCAAGGTAGTATAAGACATTCAATATTATAAAGTGCCAATTTCACAGTAAAACATTATGCATACATAAACGTGATAAACTTTTTCATTCATTCTGATTGACTAAGATTTAAATTCGTGTTTCATGCTTTACTTAATTAATAGTTTAAAGCCAAACATTCTAAGGCTAACGTTAAGATTTGTGTATTTATAATTTTAAACCAAGCCAAACCTTATAAGCACGTAAGTTATGTAACTTATTGATTCTTTTAAACAGCAGTTTTTTTTTTAACTTTACTACATCACTTTTGACTGTCGTCTTGACAGGTCATTTTCTTTTTGGTGTGGCTGTCGTCACAACAGGCCACATTATCAACTCCTACCACTACCACGATAACATCCAATCGTGCAATTTATTTGGCTGCCATCCCAGCAGGCCATTCAAATTACCTGTCAACGAACATTTCGGGCAGGGTGGAAGGGTTGATGTAACCAGAACAAAAGTTTGGTTCGCAGAAAAGACAAAATTGGCTGTTTCCATTCCCACATATACTATGACTCAATTACCTTATACTTACTCAATTATCAATAACTATCGATACTGATCAATATATTATACTTTTGTCACTGATCAGATTACTAATAGTCAAAATTACCCTAACATGTAATCGTAATCATCTTACCTGATGATCGAAAACTTCTTTAAAGTTCATTTAGGTTAGGGTTAGTGTTTCTAATAAGACTAGGCACTGGTGGGGTTTATAGTAAAATTGCCAAAGAAATTTTTTTGTTAGAGTACAAAAGGTGTTTCCTATTCAAATTTTTAAGAATGCGCAATTTTTGACAAAGTAACAATCTTTTAACTTTGATCGTGTTAGGTTGCACGGAACATGGCTCATTATTGGTTAATTTGCCGTCGATCATCACGTGACAGTATAATTTTTTGGGTAGTTAAGTCAGATGGATAAGCGTAATGTAACACAATCAGGTGTAACATATAAAAAAAACTTTTTGAAGGTTTCGTTGAAATCTCATACGGATAAGATTTCATTTGTTGGTTTCATTTATTAAAGATAAATTAATATTCGTAATCATTTACAACTATAATGTATTATATAATGGTCCTTGCTGATAACTGAGTAACTGGTCGGTTCTTCAATTACCGTAAGTAGATATTTATTAATATGTAACCTTAATATAACGAAGGGGTCAGGCTATTAGCACAAAATTTCAAAAATTTGTTATATCTAAATTACCAATACTGTAGTTTTGTTAGATCAAGGCTAATTTAAACATGAGAGCTAAAGATGAACTTCGTTATACATATTTAATCCAAAGTTTTTCTGCTGAGTTTGTTCAAGCTTAAAATTTTAACCAGCCATAGTGTCAGTGTTTCAAAGGAAGGTCACTGAAGTCAATTGATAGTACCACTGGAGCTTTTACTATTAGATATTCCATTGGAAGGCCTTAAAATTCTACTGGAAGCAAAATTTGACAGCCCTGATGGTCACTACCTTCGGACTATGACAACATTAGTAAAATTAGATGATAACGAAATAACTTTATTGATATAGTTTGACCTAAACTAGTATTGATTTATAAATTGTAAAAGCAGAGAAAATCTAGTAATGTTTATGAATGTGCACAAGAATCTAACAGTTACGGTGCAATGATGAAGTAGAGGATGGTGAGTCAAACTTTACTGATAATGATATAGTATTCGAGAAAGAATTCTTAAAAGATCGATATTAGTGTTTTTCGTTGTGCCTCTTATAAGATTCATAAAGCTTTGTCGATTTTTTAACATACTGTTTTAATCACGCATTTCATATTATTAGATTTTAAGATTTCGGAATTTCTAAGGATATAATTCTAACAGATCAGATTTCATAATACTATTATCCAAGAAACGTATTGGATAATTATTTTTGTTTATTAACATTCTGACAGTTTAAATTAGTTGTTTCATAGAATTTTAATTCATTGATCAAGATACCCTATCGAAACAACTTTAAATATTTGTTCGCAACAGATATTACTTCAATTGAAGAAATTTCCGTGCGTCGAGTCACAGGAAATTCATGATCCAGTATATCGCGGCCGATTTGCGCCAAATAGGCTAATTTATATAAATTGAAATATCAAATTAAATATATACTAGTTTTTGCTGATAATCATTTTATTTTTAGGCCAGTAATTTATCTTGTTGCATTTAAATGTAAGTTTTGTTAATTGAATACAAATGCAACTAAATTTTATTTATATGATGACTAGATCTTATCTCACTGAACAGTTTTATTATGCTGAACTAAAGAAGTTTCAGCCTTGTCTGACAAAAATAAAGATTGTTATTTTTTGTTAATGAAGTTAATGAAATTAATTGATATTCTTTTCTTCTTTCTTGGTTTCATTATCAAGCATACAGTTCATAATCAAGTCAGTGAATTAGAATGAGCTAGAATTTGATTTGTATGTTTTTTTTTTTTTATGATTTAGTGATTTAGCTTTCAAAATGATGATAATCAAAGACGGGCGGACAGAATAGATTTTTAATCATCAAATTATGTTGAATGTCTCAATTCTGATTTATTAAAAAATAATATTCGTAAAGAAAATAGATTAGTATATTTCTAATTCTATTTTGCAATTCTTAGATATTTGTATATGGATTAAAACTTTCATAAAAAAAAAAAAAAGGTAAGAGATATCTGAATTGAAATTTCTTTTTTTAAAATGAAAATGATTATATGAATTGTATTCACATGCTGAATAAATGTGTAGACTATTAAGTTCGGTTCATCAATGATTCAATTTCAATGTTTATTCCTTAAATCATATTTTTATATTAGTATTAATTAATAATACCATCTTTTTATTTTATTTTAAACATTAAAATTAGTTATTTCTGGATTAAGTTATTGAATTTCGTTTTCATAGTGATACTCTTACTGAGGTAACTAAAAATATAGAATGAAGGAGTACTTTGTCCTTTTTGAAAGTTAGTTTCACCCAAAATCTGAAACCTTCGAAGTCTCCGAAATTCTAAGTTTATAAGAAATTTAACAATTTTAATACTTTATTTGCGCTAAATAACTACTCATAAATATTATTTAGATGTCCACAATTTAAAGATAGCACAACGTGAACAATAATTTTGTTTTTTGAAATTGTCTAAAGTAATTAGCTATTTTTAGATTGTGTCTCGAAATAAAACCTGGATTTGTTTCGTGCTAATGTTTTGTAAGTCGTGAATGGATACATAAATTTGGTGATCACTCACCCAATGTGCCATGCAATCAGGTGCATACGCTACTTCATACTTCATTTCACTCCATTCCGTAATGATAATTTGTAGAATGGAATAAATGATAAACATACTGTATGCGCAGAATTCAATTCTGATCAACAAACTAGCTTAAAGAGTTTTAGCCATAAAGTTTTGTGTTATTCAAAATTAAAATTTGTCTGAATTTTGTCTTAATGATAATATTGCCTGAAATTATGTTTACAAAACTCTAAATCAATCAGTATATATTTATTTTTCGAAAAATACGTTTTCCGTAATTTGCTTTAATTGATGTGAATCACAAAACTCTTCGATTCCCTTACTTAAAATATAGTTCGAATATTTATTTAATCTTTCGCTGGCTCGATGAGCCTTACAAGTTTAAGAGATATACGATTTTATAGTTGCATATCGACCGATTTTCTATGATGATATAGTTACTAAACACGCAGTGAAAACTAAGTAATTATTAAACGGTATCAATAAGATCAAAATATTATGGAATATAAAATTAGAAAATATAAACCTAATACTTTTTCTTTAATTGCTTAATTATTCAAAAGATCTGAATTAAGAGATTTTAGATTCAATTTTAGCAATTTACAATATAGCAATACATTAAATAAAGTTAATGAAATATTTTTATCAAATAATAGCAAATTTAGAATATACGTACAAAGGCAGACGACCCTCGCATATTAATGTAATGATGCTTCATATCATATGAATCACTCATACTTTTTATTGGTCGCCATTAGTAATTACAACTCTGGTCAGTTTTCATAAATACTGTATTACTTTTATCTTTTCGCGCTAATTAGGCAAGTGTTGTAAAGAAACTTTAATATTCTACGCATTTAAAATAGGCTATACAGATTTCTGAATCCTTATTATTTATTCTATTTTCTATTTAAAATAATTATTTAGACTTATATGATTATTTACTACGTACAGTCAGACTTCGTTATAGTCACTCTTGATATAGTCACAACCTTGATATAGTCACCCTGTTTTTTTGTTCCTAGCTTATATAAAACATATAAA